CTTGAAACCAAAGAAAGTTTCGAGCATCTTGGGCCGATAGATGGTAGAGATCTTCGTTTACGAAGATCTCRCACAATTCCAACCAGGCCTTATAGCAGTATGCTTTTCTTCTACARCCAAGGATCGTGGTGRTACGAGTCCTATTGATCCACAGTATGTCGCAGCATTATGACTATGGCAAAGATCTGTGAAATCATTGTTGCTAGTGTCGTAAGCCGATTTCGTAAAGAAAATGGAGAGGACTTCTTGTGTGAACGAGCATACATGACGAGGACATTCAACCTCTATCATAGGCGTCCTTTTCCTACTATGCTTAATACGGCCCCCAAGGCCTCAATTTTCTTTTTACATACTCCACCAGCTACTTTCACGAACTGTGGAGGCCCATCGAAGTGTCAAGGATGCTGTGAACAGGCAAGCAGCGTGACCTAAGCCCATAGAGTACTGGAAGGGTTCATGACAGCCAATTGAGGATAGAACGGGTAGTTTTACCTTTGGATCACCTGTGTTTGCTGTCAATCTTTCTGGAGCCAGCGCTCTCTATAATAGCCTAGTTGCTTCTGGTCGGCGGCCTGTTTTTACTCACTATCTAGAGGCGAAATAACGACATCAAACTAAGGCTTCCATCAACACGATCACCGCTATGTCATGCTCATACATCATTTCGGGAATTGGCTTCCTAATACTTGGCCATATCATAGCATTAATGCTTTACAGGCTGTATTTGCACCCCTTAGCCAAGTATCCAGGTCCGTTCTGGGCACGGATCTCGGCATTCCCAGCCTTTTATTACACTCTCAGACAGGATCGACACATCTGGTTCTGGAAGTTACAGGAGAGATACGGTACGTATTGTACGCCTATCACGTAATGGGAGTCCCATAAAGGCTGAAGTGCGCTCATACAGGCCCAACCTTTCGTATCACTCCGAATAGTGTTCTGGTCAACACCCCTACCGGCCTAGAGGCCATCTACAACAGCAAGGCAAATGTCAAGAAGGCGGAATATTACAGAGTATACCCACGTAATATCCATGCTGTTACAACTTGGAATAGCATCGATAAGACTACCCATGCTCGAAAACGGCGAGTTATGAGCCATGCTTTTTCTGATAAAGCACTTCGCTCGTGCGAACCTCTTATTCAATCCAACATCGACCGATGGGTTCAGCTACTGGATCAAGAGATTGGAGAGAAGAAACGGTCTGACTCATTGAATATGGCTCGATGGGCTGATCATCTTGTCTTTGATACCCTAGGCGAGTTATGCTTTGGTAAATCCTTCGGTATGAAGGAACATGATAGTGAGTTACGGCATATTCCAACGCTTATGACTGACTTTATGTCCACGATTCATCCGGTAAGGTAAACTACACTATCTATAAAGCTGTTGCTAATTTCAGATGTTCAGATTGCCTACTCCCCATTCGCTTATCTCTGGGCATGGCTGAAGCCCAATGGCCTAGACTACCTTCTCGCAGCTATTGCGCCTCCAGCCTTGAGCAAGTGGCAAACGTTTGTCGAGAAATGCTTTACTCAGAGAACTCAGCTTGAAAATGAGGCGCGAGGGGTAGGTAAACTGGGTACTGAAAGTCGAAAGGATTTCTTCCATTATCTCTTTCATGCAATTGATCCTGATACTGGAAAGGGCTACAGCAGCGATGAGCTTTTCGGAGAGTGTGAGTCTCTGCTTATTGCTGGCTCCGATACGTCTGCCATAAGTCTCGCTGCTGCTTTCTTCTATCTTACAAGATACCCTCTTGTACAGGA